AAGCTTTTTTTTGGTTCTCTCTTTATTGTCCAAGGTCAAGGGGAAAGGATAAATCTGAGTGGAATATATAGTAGATATTTGATGGCCATGAAGATGTAGTGAGGTAGTTTGCTCAGTAACAGGTAGTGTTATGTTGTGGTAATGGACTCTTGAATCAAACTTCTTGAATTCAAATCCTGGCTATTGGCTGAAAAAAAAAAAAATGCCAGGCAAATGATTTAGCCTGTTTGTCACTTAGCAGCCTCATCCATAAAATGGATGAGATGATAAGAGGACTTCATGGAGTTATTGTGAAATTTAAGTGAGTCAATAATGTAAAGCATCTAGGCCAATCCATAATACATAAATCCTTGATAAATATCAATACTTTGAAAATATAACACATGAATTTTCTCATGTTATAATCTGTTCAAAATATTTTTATACAATTACTTAGTTGTCGCAGGGAACGACGCATTTGTGGAGAGTGAGGGACACAGGAACTCCTGGATCTGAGGGTTACTGTCCAGAACTAGCTGAGGAGGGAACGGGGCTCTGAATCCCGCAGAGCCCATCCCAGGGTTGTCAGAGATGGGGGAATAAACACAAGTCATTGCAAACACTTCTCTGTTTGCCAGGAGAGGGGACATGGCTCTTCTCTCTAGGGGAGAGAAGGGCCCGAATCCCCTGTCCAAAGGCTTTTATTGAGAACCATATGCACAGGGGTATGAAAGCAAAGCTCATCAATCAATGTCAAAAGGCTTTGTTTACAGAAAACAAATAAAGATCATGGATAACAATTGGAGGAACACAAGAGATCTGCCTCGGGTCGGGGTCTATGAACAATGTAAATCTCCTTCCCAGAATGAGCCGGTTATTACTGTTTTTGAGGGAAGAATAAAACATGTTTAGAGGAACTTATTTCTAGGCCTGATTGTCACCGGGAGCCACCCGATCCAGTTTAGAGCTGTACCTGCCTTTAGTATTGTTTCAAGCCTGAGCTAGGCGGGCAGGGCAGAGCCACCAAGAGATAAGGAGACTTCTTTCAGATAGAATGAGGACCCTGGCCACGTCCAGGCTAAGCTGAGGGCTGCGGGCCTTTTTGCCCTTTCTTTGTGTCCCCCAAGTCCTTGTCCCACTGCCCATACCTGCCGATGTCTGGCTTAGGTTGTCCATCCTCGAGAGAGCTTACCCGTCATCAACAACCAACCATCACAGGGCCAAGCCGGGTGATGTGAGGGAAACAGGGACTGCGCCCCTGCCTGGGGGACAGGTTTCATCTCCTCAGTGCCCTGTTTTCCCAAGGCCTCCTTGATTAGCTCCAGACTTGGGGCCCACTTGCCTGTTGGTGGGGCTGCAGTCCCTGAAACCAGGTGGAGCATTTCCCAGCACTTAGTACTCAACCATGGAGATGAAAAATAATCAACTTTAACTCATTGCCTCTTGTAATAAATTTTAAAATTGTTTTCAAATTTTTCAGTTATATATTTTCTTATTTTCTTCAGATTAACTTAAAAATCATTTTGCTAACTTCTATGAAAAATACTTCTAGAATTTTAATTGGAATTATATCAAACATGTACATTTACTTTGGGAGTCTCTTTTACAAAGTCTAACTTTCTCATCCTGGATATAGTACATCTATTTACATGTTGTAGTCTGAAAAAGTGACTCTACTATTTGGTAATTATTTTTGTAGAGATCATCTATACTTATTCTTAGATAATTCATAACTCTACCATTAATAATTTTAAATATACTTTATTCTTATTTATTACTGTTAGGAATTTTATTAGCTTTTTAATACAGATTTTATACTTTTTATAGTAAAAAAGCAAACCTTTTTTTGTGCATGACCTTTTATGTATCGAATAGTCTCAACCTATGTTCTGAACTTAGAGCAATTTTTACCTATAACTTATTTTTAGGAAAGGTACTTAATAAAAGGTAAATGTTTTAAATCCATTATGTAAATATATCTCTAAGAAATAAGATAATATTATAGAAAATCACCACAATAAGCAAAATTCTTGCTTCATCTTCCTTAAACAAAAAGTCAGTAAGATCATTTCAGTCAAATATTAGAAAGAACAAAGATGTAAAGAAACTTACTGTTTCATTAACAGGTCTATAAGTGTATTGTATTATAAACTACAGAAGCCTAATACTTACTACTGTTTTGCCTCTTTTTCTGTTCCTTCCTACCTTAGAACTCTTCTAATACTTCTGTAATTGTCTTGTTTAATTTTTATTTACTTGTTTGGTCTCTATTTTTCCTCCATTCCCATTGTAGTTTTGATTAGGACTACAGCTTTTGTTGGCTTGTTTACTGCAATGATAGATACCCAATCACAATTCCATTCATTTCTTCATTTATTCTTTTATTAAATATATATTAATCTTCTTTTCTTTGTCAGGAACTGTTGTGTATAGACAGGGTCTCTGGCCTCAAAGCATTTAAAGTAAGAAAGCAAAAAAGTAAATAAATAACTTAATTTCAGACAATTATGGTCATATATGGGGTACATTTTGATTATAGAGTTAATAGGATTTTCTGAGGATTAGATGTTGGAAGAGAAAGTGAAAATGGAACAAAGGCAGACTGCTGGTTTTTAGGCTGAGCAGCTTGGTGATTTGTGGTTCTTGTTATAAAGACAAGGAAGTTTGGAGGAAGAACAGGCTTAAAGTTAAGGGTTTGATTTTGGATATATTATGTGTGAAAATACTACATTAAATATCACATGAAAGTATTAAATATAAGTTGAATATATATGTTGAAAGTTCAGGGGAGAGTGTTAGATGGGAGATGGGGATTTGGGAGCCACTATATTTTAAAGCTACACAATTAAATGAGATCATCTAGTAAGTGACTATAGATCAAGAGAGATTTAATGTTAAGAAGAAGAAGAGAGGCCAGCCAAGGAGACTGAGAAGAGCCCACCCGTGAGTTAAGGAAAAAAAGAAATCCAAGAGGTGTGATGCTCCAGATCCCAGTGAAGAAGTAAGTGCTCCAGCACTGAGGCTGGAGGATTAATTAAAATGCCAAGGGTTAAAGATAAAGAGAGAATCTTAGAAGCAGCAAGAGAAAAGTGGTTAGTTACTTACAGGGGAGTTCACATAAGACTGTCAAATGATTTCACAAAAGAAACTTTGCGGGCTAAGAGGGCTTGGCAAGAAATGTTCAAAGTAATGAAAAGCAGGGACCTACAGCCAAGATTGCTCTACCCAGCAAAGATAAATTTTAGACTGGTAACTGTAGGAAGGGAGGACAGAGGAAGGGATTTACTGAAAGAAGGTGAAGGGATTAGTCAAAGAACATATATGAAGGATGCATGGACATGGACAACAATGAGGAGACTGATTATGGAAGTGGAGGTGAGCTAGGTGGAGGGGCTGACAGGAGAAAAAGTGGGACAACTGTAATAGCATAAAAAATAAAATTTAAAAATCACTCTTTTTAATGTTAAAAAAAAATCAAAGGGCAGATAAAAAGAGTCCCAGACAAGAAAAAACTAAAGGAGTTCATCATCACGAAACCATTATTATGTGAAATGTTAAAGGGACTTATTTAAGAAAAGGAAGAAAATCAAAGCTTTGAACAATAAAAAGGCAATAAATATATATCTACAATTGAATCTAAAAAAACAAACTAAGCAAACAAGAAGAACAGAGACAGAATCATGGATACAGAAAACATTTTGACGGTTTCCAGATGGAAGAGGGGTGTGTGGGAATGGTGAAGGGGTCAGGGGGTTAAGAAGTGCAAATAGTTAGTTCCACAATAGCCTTGGGGATGTAAAGTACAATATAGGAAATGGAGTAGCCAAAGAACTTATGTGCATGACCCATGGACGTGACCAATATTGTGGGGATTTCCTGAGGGAGTGGAGAGTGTGGATGGCAGGGGGCAAAAGGGAAAAAATGGACACAAATGCAATAGCATAATCAATGAAATAAAATTTTTAAAAAACGAATGGGTAGTGATGTAATGGAGGTGGAGACAATAAAGACCTCTTTCAATACTTTTTTCAGCAGAAAAATTAGACATAACTGGGGAATAATTTTGAATGAAATAATTTTTTTTTAAGATAGGAAATACTGAAACATGTTTATGTGCTGATATGAATTATAGGTCAAGTGGAAAACAATGGCTATGCAAGTGGCAAGGCTGCCTATGGAGAGGAGGAGAGACGTACCAGAAGGAATGTGAAGTATATATGTGCATGTGTGTAAGTGTATTACAAAGATGTATGTAGATTGGTAGATCTGACAGTGGGAACACAAAGCACTTTTCTCCTAGATGTTTCTAATTTTCAATAAAATAAGAACAAAGTACAACAACTGACAGTGATAAATAAGAAAGGGACGTTAGCAATTTGAGCAGCGAAGAAATGGTGTAGCATATTTATCTCAGAAAGTGTTAAAGCAAATTTAGTAGGATAATGTAGTAGGATTCAAAAGGCAGTACTGAGGACCTATTTAAGATACAGTAATACAATTGAAATGAAACAGGTGCAATTTCCTCCAGTTACTTTCATCTATTTAGGGAGCAAATGGCAAGGTTACTGAGAATATATAAAAAAAGGAGAAATTATTGCAGTTGCTAAAGTAATTGAGTGGAAAGACCAGAGCTATTTGAATCTCAGGTAAATAAAACCCTACATAACTCGCCCTTACAATTCTCTTAAGGGGCTGGACAGGGTGACTGGAACCATTCACACACAGCATGAACCACGATGAAATTTTCTCAAAAGCCTAACCATCCAGCTGGCATGTGATTTTATGTACTTAAAATTTCTCAGAAATGTATCTATTGAGAAAAGCAAGGTCCATCAGCACAGGTTTATCTTTTTTATTTTAAAGTATGTTTACATGTTTTAACGCACCAAACTGAAAAGAAAAACACCATTCAAACCAAGCATTCTACTAGGACATCATCCTTAGGTATTACTATTTTTTTCTTTTGCTTATTATTCTCTCAATAAAACAGAAATTGTATTTCCACATTTGAATGCTAATACATTTCCTGAATAATCTGAACAATAAATAAATAGAATTTAGTAATGCCATCTGAAATAGTCTTCAGAAAACTGTTAGGAGGGCAAACAGTCCATAAAGTAAGGCACAAGGGTAGGCAATGAGAAGCTGCTGTCCTTCCATGTCCAAGGCAGAAATGAAGATTTTGGAAGCTGAGAGACTACACCAGCCAATGATGACCAGCGCCAGCACAGTTCCAACTGTGCCCCTAGAGCAAAGACAAAAGAGATGATTACCTTACATCAGGTGAAAAAGAGAGGATTGAATCAGAGCTGTCTCTGAAATGTCCTCAGCACAGAATTTGTAACTACTTTTCCCACTTGGAAAATGAGGGTGAGAAACCATATGAATTCAAAGACCTTGGCCAGTTAGAAAATATTTAAGTTAATTTCACTATCAGGGGCTATTTCATACTTCAGTAAAACTTGAGTTACTAGAAACAGAAGAATTCACTTGCAATTTCTCTAACATGTCAACAGTCAAATCACAACTCTCAACATCCTTTTATATAAACTATGCTTACAAACTTCTTTTACAGCTGCAGATTTCTTTCCCCAGCACTTTCTCCTGCATTCACCCACAGTATGAGCAGAAAGAGCACCAGACTTGTCCTTCAGTAGGGTGCCTTGTCCCCACTGCTTGCCAGTCCCCCGTCCCGGTTTCTGCCTGAGACAGCAAAGCCTGACACAGCTCAGGCTGAGAACACAGGGAACAGGGACACACGTATTGTGTTGTTTTGCACTTCATCACTGAAGATCCCTTTTATACGTATGTGTGGATTGTTTAGAATACTGAAATGGATTTGTTCAAATTGGTACCTTCAAGAATAAGCGTGGAGGTAATTGTTTCTTTAAGAAGAAATGTGGAAATAAGGTAGTTAAGTCTAGCTTGGAAATAAATAAAGGAGGAGTGGGTGGTAATGCGTGAATTTCTCTTCTTACACTCAAAACAGAATGCATTGTGTAGGAAAATGAAACATAAGACCTAGGAGAGACTGCAGGTATATCTAGTCCCCAGCTTTAAAGCAACAGAGTGACTTAACAAAAACTGCACAGTAAAATGGACATTAGATTAAAATCTCCTAATTCCTGGCACACAGTCATTTTCACCATCAGACTACACTGCCTCACTTGATCGTGGCTGGATCTGAAATTAAGAATTGAGTTTATTATGTGTGAGAATGACAGGAGTGCCTACTTTAATAACTGAACCAAAGGCAAACAAGTGAAAAACTGTACAATATAGCTTATAATTAAATAAAAACATTTTTAAAATATTCTAATAAATACTACATTCATTGGTTTAATTAGTGTTATTAAGAATAATTTCTAGAGCAATTTAATTTGCAGGCTTTTGTAAACAAGAATGTAAAATTATATATGATTAATTTGAATGATATAGTAGTATGACTGAAAGAGCATTTCCAGTATAATGATTTTAGGGGTCAGATAGTAGATTTCCTTTTAACAGAATTAAAAGGATTTCTAAATCATCTTTCATACTTTCAGAATAAAAATTTAATAAAAAATGTCCATACTTCCAATGATTCTCAAAATCCAAGGGTTTTAGTTTTTATTTTCTTCCCCTAATAATCTAGAGTCATTTAAAATGCCCTACACCTCAATTTTGCTGGAAATAAGGTTTCACTTAGAATTTTTGAATGGTAAATCATTATAGTATTCTTTGGCAAAGGCATTTGACAAAATAGAAGTTGTGGAACTGAACTCTATGTTCACTTGTCAAATGTTTATACCGAACAACATAGTACAAAGAAAAGCTTGCTTGCTAAAGAACTCGATATGCACAAAGTGGAATTTTTCCATGGATGAGACTCAATAAATACTTGCAACTCACATTGTACTTATACATTCAAAGTATTCGTTTTCTCTTTTATTCCTCTATTTTAAATGTCCAGGGTACTTGCTGATAAGAGTTTGCTCTAAAATATTTTCAAGAATATTAATATAGAAATAAGACCATATTTTAAAAACATTTACAACTAAGTCATTTTCAATAATGCTATGAAAAATACCCTATGAGATTATATCTAAATAAAAATATTAAAGGCTTTTCTAAAATGTCTGTCTTGGCTTTGGTATATCCTTTATGTAATACCTTACCCAGTGTAGGGTTAATAACCTAAAATGTGTATCATCCAAGAAAAATGCAAATTGTGTCTCATAAGGATATGGAATAATGAGCACGGATGACAAATGTTTATTCCTAATTGGGTTTAGAACATGACAAGTGACAAAGGACGATGTAATTGCTTGGTCTCCCCAATCAAAGTGGTTGTGAATCCAGAGAGACCGCCTGACAGAAACTTATCTACTGCATCCTTACTAATAGTTTTGAATTGCAAACACCAACTGCTCAGGAAGTAATAAAGAAAAGAAAATTCTTGACTGAGCATATATGCCATAAAATTCTCTAGCATTAATATCCTCCTCAGGGTTCCTGGGAATTCTGCACCGCATGGAGCCCAGCTGAGAAAAAACAGTTGCTTCCAGCCTAGAAGACAGAGTGCCTGGGAGCTGAGGCAATTTGTCAACGTTCACCAGGCACTTACTCTTCCAAAATCAAACAAATGAATTTTCTGTACTTGTATTACCCATGACAATAGTTCGTATTGAGGAATGTGACAACTTACAAACTGCCAGTTTTAAATATTACTTGGCTTAATCCATTTTTTAAATTATTAAACTAGAAATAGCACCTTAGCCAAAACTGACCTACTTTCCTGAATCTTTCTGTAGTTTTTAATAGTCATTGGATTCCCCAAGTCCACTCCCAAGATGATCAGAAAGAGGTTAACTGTTGGGCTGGTGTGGCGAGCCTTAGTGATGATTGTGCATGTGGGGTCAACTAGCGAACACAGGCACTTACTGAAGTGAAAAGAAGATGGCACAGCAGGACAGGATGACCATGGGGAGCAGGCAGTAACCCAGGACACTCGCCACGCAGCCATAGGACACCCCTGAAGAGCTCATCAAGTTCAGTAAGGCGTAAATGCCAAGGCAGCCAAGGGCACTCATGCCATATAGGTAACCAAACTGAACCTTTCCTGCCTGAAACGATGAGAAGAAAACACTTTGAACACATGAAAAACATCAACAGAGAAATCGGAACGTCAGCAAATCAGAGAGCATTTTAGAATCAATCAGATCTGCATGGTTCCATATCTTTGTAGTACAATTATCAGGAGACTAGGATTTCTGGAAGAAACACTGGCTGTAATATGAATTCAGTTCCTGAAAACAAACGCCCCTAACTATACTTGGGGTGTCACAAGCATGCTACAGAAAATATTTTTTATCAGAGGTTGCCTATTAGAGATACAAGGCATAAGTAAAAATATATTTTCTCCCCATATTTGTCAAATAATTAACTAAACGAATCAGTTGATGAAAAAAATGCTGATTTAGTCTTGGAGATTTACAAGGCACAGTAGTAAAATTAGCAAACACCTATAGAATTTACTACGTTAGGAATTTTTTAAGCATTTCACCTCTCTAACTTATTTAATTCACATAACAATCCCATGAGATAGGTACCATTATTTTACCAATTTTACAGAGGGAAACTGAGAGCCAGAAAGTTTAAGTAACTTTCCCATAATAAAATAATGTTAAATGGGGGAGCTTGACTTTGAACTAAGGCAGTTTGGCTCTAAAATTTAGGTCCTTTACATCTGTTGGAGCTCTAACAAGTCCTAAAATAAAGGAATTCATTTAACCTTTTATAACCCAGCATATCCTAAACTTATTTGACCACAGGAAATTTTGATTTCATAATGTCTATTGCCAGTTTAACTGGACACATCTTATGAAAAGCTGATTTATATGAACTACCTGGTAATAAATCATAAAAGAGGTATTGTTAAGGGAATTCATTGGTGTTCAGGATATATCACTGATCTAAGAACTTATAAAAATAGCCACTACTCACTAATTATCTCAATTAAATCTAAGGAAAGTCCCAATCTACTATTAAGTCAACAGAGGCTATTTTAATATTGGCTACCAGAGGATTCAAAAGCTCCAGTAAAGAATGAATTTAGTTTTTATATTTACATTACACTGATTGGAAATTCTAGATAAAGGCTGGATAAGCTGTGGTTCTCATGGGAACTGTACAAAAAACAGTGAAGGATCTGGTAAATTGATTCAGAAAGAGAGCTTTCAGCTGTCATTTTTTTCATCCCATAGCTATTATCCATGAAATCCTTATGTCTTGGAGAACAAAGAGACATTTATTTTGTGATTAATGAAGGGTAATGGAGAATGTTGTGACCATTTTAATGTTCAGAATTGTCCAGCTATGTTCACCTCTTCTTCCTCTGCAGTTAAGTTTAGTCACTACCAAGTTCCTTCACAAAACAGCCCCAACTCTGCTGGCGGAATGCTCTCCTGCCTAAGCCATGATACATTCTTACTGAGTATCTTGTATTCTTATGGGTATTTTGTGAAATAACATTAATGATGTTAATGGACATGCTTAAAAAAATCAGTTTTGTACTGCACCATTCGGTGAGTTTGTTCCACTTGGAAAATATTGTCACTTCAAATCACTTTTATGTGTTAGAAAAATATTTTACTTAATATTTTAACTGAATGTGATCATTCTGAGATAGTGATGGTTGTAATAGTGAAAAGCAATTTCCCTACACATAAAGGACACATAGCTGGAACTTTTTGGTCTCAAGAAGTTTTGCGAAGAGGGTGGGGTGATGAAGTAATAAAGAAAAAACTTTGTTAATTTTGTTGCAAAATTATTTTTGTCCCTTTCCTTGTCAGTTACTGACATTTTTCTTCATCTCTTTCTCTTGTTATTTCATTCAATTTAAAGTTCAATTTCACTTGGCAAAGGCCACTGCCATTTTTTAACTTGTTTTGAATTGTAACAAGAGCTTGTAATTGAAATTAAAAATAAATTTTCCTTTTTTTAAAAAATACCTACAGAGAAGAGATCACAGATCCACATTACCAGAAAGGCAGGGGATAGAATTAGGGATAGACTAAAGGGTTGCAAGGTGTTAATTGTATGGTCAGAGCAACTAGACTTTTGGGGATGATCACTTTGTAATGTATACAGATGTCAAATTATAATATACTCCTGAAACATATATAATTTTAAAAAAGAAAGAAGAAAAATTCCATTTTTTTATCTTCAAAATTTTCAGAATTCTCCCTGTACCACCTTAATTACTATATCTTTATACAAAATACTTATTCAGGTGATCATGCTTTTGCATTGGCCATGTATATTCCTTTTTCAGATCACATTGTTAGATCTATAAAAAAATAAGTAATTGGAGCTAAAGATAAACCAGTTATCTTTATTGTATTGGGAGCAAAAATAATTTTGAGATAAATAATAAGTAAAATTAAATTTGTGTTAAGTGTTTGAATTGTTCTTTTTGGTTTGCGTCCTTCAACATGAAGAACCTCCACTACAAGGTACTGCGTCGTATATGAACATAAATCAGAAAAGTGATGAGTATGTGACTGTGAATCATCTACCTCCAGGACATTATTTCTGGATTTACTTTTGCTTTTTCTAGTACATGTATATACCAGCCCATAAAAATCATCCTTTATGTTTTAATTTGAGATACCCAGGGAAGGAATAACTTAACTTCAAATGGAATCTGAGTTAATTCTGACTTCACTAACATCCACTTTATTAGTTTGTTTTGGTCCTTATTGCTCTACATGTATCAAAATCAATTCTGAAGAAACCACATACTAACGGTAAAACTGAAGTAATAATGTTTTCCTAAAAAGGTTCAGAAAATAATTCAGTTTCAAATAAGTCCTCCAAATTTCAGAACTGAAAGACAGCTTAAGAAGCCCTTTAATAAACCATTTTTGTCCTCGATGTTAAGAAGTAAAGTCCTAGGAACAGGAAACAAAGGAGTCAAAACCACACCTAGAGGCAAAGTTGGGGTAGAATCAATTTACTTACTTCCAATTGAGTTCTTTGCCTATTTGGTTTGTACTTAAGACAAAAGAGAGACTATTTAAATAGCCTCATATTATATAGCTAAAAAGATCTTCATGGCATTAATACTTTCCTTTAAAGGATAGTGATGGCAGTATTTCTACAGAAAAGTAAACAGCTGTTATATTACAAATTACTTGAAAAAGAAAGATGAGTTAATATATTAAATTGATTGTTTCTGACTACTTGATTAATTGACATGGTTTTACTTAGCAGCTTAATCAAAAATTATCAAATTACTGTGACAAAGACAGAAGGGAAGTTAGAGACTAAATTAAAACTCGTTGATATAGTGTTTGATTTACAGAGTATTTGTATCTGCTGAAGTTCAAAGGAAGAAATGAAATGCTACTACTAAATAGTATTGTACTGGGTAAATACACTGTGATTTCTGGCCACATTACCAAGCAGAAGCTAGATTGCTGTCAGTGTTTTGATGTTTGTAATAAGCAGTTAATAAATACAAATTGAAAATTAATTGCAAATAACATGTTAGAGCTACATTGAAAAAATTGTAACTACATTGGAGAAAAAACAATTATAAGAAGTAGCTGTAAGAAGAACAAGTAAAAAAGGCCTAGAATCTTTAATTTCTTATATTATTTTTCCTGCCTTATTAAGGATCACTTTGTGCCTTAATAAAACTATATTTTTAATATTAGCTCTACCATATTTTTCATCCTCTGTTTTTAATGTTTTATCATTCTCTTCTTGGTGTTATATCATAGACCTTTTCTCGTTTCTTCTTTTTCTTCCCTTTTTTAAAAAATGAAACACTTTCCTAAACTATGAACAAGAATGTTATCTAAACTTGGGAGGAAATATGTGCGTTTTAATTTTGGGAATGTCTTTTAATATCATTACGCCCAGGTAAAAAGGATGGAAAAAACACATTTTCCACAAGGAAAATGATAAAGCCAGGAGGAAAAAATGTCTTTATAAAGAACATAAAACTAAAATAACAGGGAAAATATATTGATTGAATAAACAAATCACAGGTTATCATTGCAAGTTAATTTGTCCATAGAAGCCTAACCAGAAAGAATCAAGAAGACCCATCTCATACACCACAGGATCTTAGAAATACTCTAGAGTTACACCCCAGCAGAGAAAATGATGAATAAAGAAAAAGTATTTCTCCAGTGTCATAACACAAATTTCACAGAAAGCAAGAAAGAAAATTGAAGCCTTATATTTCCCAAATCCATGTGCTCCTTCAGCTATTCCAGATAGAGAGTCTTTTCTTAATAACAAGAAAGACATAAATGATGTCCTGCTTTGTTGAAAATTTTGTTTGGCAGTTTCTCTTTTGTTACTATAGTTCTTTTAAATGGCTCTCCCCCTACGCTCCCCCCCAACACACCAAAAAATGTAGTTATAAATTAAACAATTTTCACTGTATAAAGTGACATACTGCTTTCTGTATTTATAAAGAGCTCTGCAGAAATGACATTGGAAAGGACACACATGAAAATGTGATGCTGCTGTCCATTACCAGAAGCAGGGTGGCTCCCAGAGCGACACAGAACATGATGGGCCCAGCTAAGTCAGTTTCATTCATAATGCTGCCATCTGCTGGCTTCAGTGGGTTTAACACTGTTAAGGTTTTTTGCCATATGTGATCAAAATTAATTCCAAGTTCTGCAAGAAGGGGGGAAAAAAGATAATATAAATATAGGAAAATAAACATCAGTAACACTCTTTAATTTACTATCTGATAAATTTACTTAGTACTTTAACCTTATTGTTATATCTTCATATTCTAAAATTCTATGTTAAAATATAAACAATATATAATTAAATAAAAAATAGATTTTTATTCCCAGTGAGCTAAAACAAATATTTTAGACAAAAAAAAAACCATAAAGAAAAATATCCATGATGTATATAGCAAATGCAAGCTTCAAATCTAGCTGAAAATTGAGAAATGGATATTCTACAGCAAAAAGATAAAATAAAATGGTGGCTGACAGACCCAAAGTCTCATCCTATTGCCCATTTAGACAGTTCCATTTCCTGCAATTTCTACTGATAACACTGTCAAAATATTGTCATAGCAAATACAGCATAAATTTTCACTAAGCAGAATTATCTAATGTAAAGGTATTTATCCCAGGTCTGGGATTTTACTTTCACGTTGCCTCATGAGAAGAACAGTCCTATGCTAATTGCCTGAAATGCTGCAGAGGAGAAAGGTGATAGGCCTTTCAGCAAGTAAAAGCAATCATGATGTGCATGCATATTTTAATAAGTTAAATACTCTATGTGGTTGAATTTGTGTATTTAAAGATTAAATTTTTGAATAGGAGAATATGCTCTCTTTTATGAGTGATGGTGGCAGAATAAAATATCCTGCCATTTACAATAACATAGTTGGGCCTTGAGGGCATTATTTGAAGTGAAATAAGCCAGGAAAGAGAAATACTACATGGCACAAATAATAGGTTGACTCTAAAAGTTTAAAAAGTAGTCAAACTCATAGAAACAGAGTAGAAGAGGTGTTGCCAGGGGTGAAGCGTGGGGAAAATAGGAAGTGGTTGGTAAAAGGGAACGACCACCCCACCCCCCGCAAAAAAAAAAAAAATCATAACCTATGCTTTTAATCAAGTCAATATGCATCTAATCTGATAATGGTTGTTTTTTGTTGTTGTTTAATGGATCCCAACTTTCCCATGTGAAGCATTGTCTCCTTAAATCTCCTGCATGTGGCTTTCAACTTTCCTTCCTAGGATTTTGTAACTCTCTGGTCAGATACACAATATAGTTCAACTTCTTTTACAATGGCTTATATCACCTAAATAACTTGCAAAGCTGACATTCTATACATAGAAGACCAGATAGACTTTTAATAATCGCCCTGACACAGAGTGGCCTTGCTTTATCAGGGACCTAGATATTTTTCAGAAGGTCAGGCAGAAGTTGGTCTGAATTAGGATAGAAAATGTATTCTTTTAATCATTTCACACTCAGATTCCAAGCTTGAAAATAAAAAAAAATTGGCTGCTTAAATTAATTGTAAGCAAATAAGCTATTGCAACCATTTTCTATTTCTTAATGAACATATACTTTGGAGAATATGAGTAGTTCACCAAGTTTAAAATAAAGTTAGAATGTCTAATGCAATTTTTAAAATAGTAAACTTTAAAAAAATTGAGAAATACTGTAGTTAAATTAATTTCACCTGAGACATTGCTTTCAAATCTTATTTTCAATTTAAACATTTATTCTAACAATGTTTTCAGTATTTACCACAATAAATGGCCTTTGATTAAAAAAATCTTTCTTCTGAAAAAGCATAATAATTATTACTGCAGAAATTCAGATGAAAAATACTTTGAGACATTATTACTGATTTCAATAATTTGATGGTATAATTAACTTCTGCACATATTTCCACATTGAGTCATGAAACAACGAATGCACATAATGAAACTTACCATATATTTTGTTAAGAAAAAGAATTTATGTGTTTTCTCTCAAAATACATTGCCATAATACAAGGTGAGGGGAACCAGGTTTACAGTTGTGAGTTTGTGAAATAGAGTTTATCATTGTACTATTATTTATTAATTATTGTATTATTTTCCACATGAACAACTATAAACCTACTTTTGCCTCACCCTGTATTTTATTTTCAAATTTATTACAAGGTATGCAAATAAGATTATAAGTATTTATTAGTTGTAGATAATGTAATAAACCACCTTATTATGAAAAATTAAAAAAAACAAAATTGCTGTGAAATTTGAATACAAAATTATTGTTTTACTGTCATCTAGTGGTGATAAAGTATATGATATAAATGCTATGAAATCAATTAATATGTCTGTTTTCTATGCAAATTGTGTCATTGGCCTTTTGAATATAAATATCAGGCTATGCTTCAAATACGAATACCAAATATCACAGTAGTTTTTCTAGTCTGATAGACTTAAATTGACTCTTAGTCTTCAAAGTTCATTTGTTAACATACTGATTGTATATATCAAAGTAACAAAAGTTATTCTTACTTAAAACCAAACAAGTCCTTTCTTTTAAGATTTCATTTATTTGTTTTTAGAGAGAGGGGAAGGGAAGGAGAAGAAGAGGGAATGAAACATTAATGTGTGGTTGCCTCTTGCGTGCCCCCTACTGGAGACCTGGCCCACAACCCAAGTCTGTGCCCTGACTAGGAATCGAACTGAAGACCCTTTTGTTGTCAGGCTGGTGCTCAGTCCTATGAGCCACACCAGCCGGGGCCCAAACAAGTCTTTTAGATGACAAAGTATTTAAAGAATAAACAAGCAGTTTCAAATTGCATATTTTTGTGCAGGGTGTGTTAATTATTATAGAGTCATGATTTTATGGGTTGTTTTAGTGACACTAAATAAAAGCAGGCAAATGTCATTTATCACTTTATTGTAGAAATTCTGCCTATGGCTTTTCCACATCTCCTATGGAAACGAAGCTCGAGACTCACTAAGTTCCCCAGCCTGTAGAACATATTATTAGATCAGAACTTAGAAATTTCATTGATTCAAAATGTAAAATTATATTAAACCCTCTCTCTTCTAATATGCTATACATTTGGTGGGGATAATCACAAAGGAGAAAAATAATGAGAAATTGTTTTTGAGCTGTTTAAAGTGGGAGGGGAAATCTAGTACATTTTCGGTTTAAGCTTAAAGAGACATTAGAGGAGATTTATTACAGTTTAGTATACCACAATAGAGCCATTTCAGATAAGTAAAAAAGAATTATTTTCAATAAATGTTACAAGAAAAATGGTTAATTTTTAAAGAAAATAAAGTTAGATCCCTAATTCACATACTAACCCAATGTTCAATTACCCAAAATTTTAAATGCAAAACTAAAAGTTAATTTTAAAATGTAAAAATCTACTAGAGGCTATAAGCACTATCTAGAGTACGAGAAATATATTCAAAACAGAACAGTTGGAAGTAAAAGTTATCAAGGAAACTATTGTGGAGTTGAAAACATAATTATAAAAAATTCTGTATTTCCTAATGTCCCATAAACAAATTAGGTGACAAACACAACGTAGGAAAACATGTTTGAAATACATATTCCAGAAAATAATTAATATCTTTACTTTGTAAATATCTCTAAAAATAAACAAAAAAAAATCATGATTCTGGCAAAGAACATGAAAAGCAGATAGAGGTAAAAAGTCAATAGGTATAAAAAATGTTTATTTTTTCTGGTAACCAAGAAATACAAAGCATTAATTTGTACCGTTTTGCTTATCAAATGAACAAAAACATCTGATATTCTGCTATTAAGGAATGTAGGAAATCATTTCCCTAGGTTTGTTTGACTGTGTACATATACACGCATTGACCCAAGAATCCCACTGCTATGGATCCATCCTAAGGACAGGCTCTGTGATACAGGTCAAAGTTGTTTACTGTGGAGTTTGCCAAAGTATTTCATTTTATACAAAAACAAGGGGGAGGATTGAATGTGGGAGCCAGGGTGGGCAGGTCAGGGGAAGGCAATAAGGGAAAAATGGGGACAGCTGTAGTTGAACAATAAACCAAATTTAAAAATAAAACACGCTTTCAGATAAGTTTAAATTATGGCAGTTATGTGTGATAGGATATCATGGATCCATTCTATATCATGTTTTCTTTTTCTCATTTATTTTGTTTTTTAGGATTCCACATATCCTAAAAAACAAATTATATAGTGATATAATATAGTATTTGTCTTTCTCTGACTTATTTCACTTAACATAATATATAGAGTATATTATACATCATGATTTCAAATAATATTTAATGATTTTAAAAGCTGTGTGTATAGAAATGCTTATGATATTAAGTAACTACAAAGATACATAACTTCATGTATATACACACATTCACATGAAAACAGAATAAAGTCTGAAAAAAAACATCAAATTGTTAATGGAAGTCATGCCACAGATAAAATTTTAGGTGATTTTTCTATATTTATTCCTGTTGTGTTATTCATGTTGTATTCTTGATGTTGTATTCCTGTTTTACACATATTGTATTCATGTATTTCTATTATTTTCCAAATTTCCATATTGAACATTGATTACTTTTATAATTCAATAACTGTCAGTTTTTAACAATAGATATGTTGGTCAAAATAAGGAAAATGTTAAATGATAATAGCATATCAATTTCAAGAGTTGTTTATTAATCACAGAGGCAAAACAGAATGAATTGTTTAAGCATACAATTTAAAACTTAACTGGTTTCAAATGAGCCAAAAAATCTACTACGTAATTTTCTGTGCTTTACTGAATGATTTAAATCTTTCAACTTTTTTAATTTTTAAGGCACAGGGCCCTGGCTGGTGAGGCTTAGTGGACTGAGCACTGGCCTGTGAACCAAAGGGTCACTGGTTCAATTCCCAGTCAGGGCACATGCCTGGGTTGTGGACCAGGTCCCTGGTAGCAGGCATGCAAAAGGCAGCCACACAGTGATGTTTCTCTCCCTCTCTTTCTCCTTCCCTTCCTCTCCATTTAAAAGTAAATAAATAAAATATTTTTTAAAAATAAAATAAATTTTTAAGGCAAAGAAAAAAGACTATTTTAATGCCAGGCAGCTGGCTGTGCTCATATTAGACAAAAAAGATCTTTTGATGCAAAATATTGCAAATTTTAATCTATCCTTTTTCCCTTGACAACATATAAAGGATTTGGAGCCTTTAACCCATGAATATTTTTCTTTAGCTCTCATGTTATAGCTTTCTAGCCCCTATACTTTAAATATCATGTTGACTTCCTTGAAGAACAAAAGCAACAGATGTAGGGGGTGTGTGTGCATGTGCGTGCGTGCGTGTGTGTGTGTGTGTGTGTGTGTGTGTCTGTGTGTGTGGAGAGAGAGAGAGAGAGAGAGAGAGAGAACATTCCTGAAATCCCCTGAGGACCTTCAACTGTAAGGGTCTCTGGGTCCCCTTGTAACCAGTAGTTCTATTTGCTAGAACCATACTGCCCCTCACTTAGCCATGCCTAGCTGAGATTAGCGGGCTCCTATGAGCCAGGTTTGTCTTCATGATAACAAATAAACAGCAGCAAGTTCAGAAACTACACACTCTGCTTCCAGGCAAATAGAACAGAAAATAAAATAAGCTGTTATAAAAGTAGTTTCATTAAAGAAATAAAGTAGTTTCATTAACTGGGGTTGGAATGGTGGTTCCTTTGACATGAACACTTTTGAAAAAATGTCTTCACTGTTCAAATTTAAGAAACAGTGAAGAAACATTTAACAGCTGCAGTACTCACACAGCAATAGCACATACCTACTTCCAATTACCCCACATAGACATGCGACAGACTTCCACTGGTGTAAGTGTCTTGAGTTGGCAGACTTGTTTACATGTGGAACAATCACACATAAAACACTACGCGGCATGCTGACAGTACACATTAAGTGCTGATTAGTGTCATTATTCTCGAGCTGTACACACATTAATAGCACTTCCTTAACTTATCTTCTAGCAAAGGAGGCTCTTCATCAAAACTGTCAATGTAAGGAGACTGTGAATAATAATCGGGGTTGGATGCTGGTTGGAAAAACTGTCCAGTGTAACCTGCTGATGTGAGCGTCTCCGGTGGGACAAAGGCGGGCTGGGGCTGCTGGCTGGCTTGAGGGCTAGAGGAAAGAAAACACTGGTATTTATACATCTAAGAAAGGGATATCATGACAAATCAAGGAAGGAAACCACAGTTTTTCTTTCATGAATTATCCTAGGTTTTATGAACATTTAATCATGAAAAAAGTAACTTGCTTAAAGTTTAACTTTAATTCATTTTAATTAAAAAAAGCGAAGTAACTGGTCATGGGAAGACTTCTAGAAGCCTGATCCATATCCACTAAAGTTACTGATTATGTACAATATGCTGGACACTTTTTCTCACATTTCCTCATATAATTAAACTCGGTAATATAAAAGCTGTAATTTTAGTCCCATTTTACAGAAAAAAAAATAGAGGTTCATGAAGAGTGGATGACTTGCCTAGTATCACACAACAGTGCAGGTGTCGGCTTCTGAACTGAAGTTGTCTGAGCCGCGCTCTGCTTCTAATACATGCTACTTTCCCACTCATTTTCAGGGGCAATCACCAAATGGGACGGTCCTTATAAATGCGTGGAACCGGGAAGGTGAAAATCACAATTTTAATAGTATAATCAATTCATAGGAAAAAATAAATACATAAACTGACTTCTATCCTTGAGGAATAGACTTTCTAACTCTGGGCATTCCCAGACAATTATTGTCAGTCACATAATCTTTGAGCACCTAACTGAAAGTATTTGATAGTTGACTTTAGTGTCCCTCTTTTGAAGTATGCAATTTAGTTTGTCCTAACATATTTCTTGCCCAACATGGTATTTCCTTGACTGTGCTTTTGTTCGTTTCTTATTTCATCATTTGTGTGAGGAAGCTGGAAAACAACAATCTTATTAAATAATTTCTGGCACAGGCTAGAGAAAGGAAAAAGTAAAAACAGAGAGTGTTGAAGTTATTTGCTCTTTTGTAATTATTTTTTAGCAGAATGAAGGGGAAGAAATATAAGGAGTCATCCTTATTAACATGTATTAAGTTCCTTCCATCAAAGCCTTTTAGACTAAAGTAAGCTAAAAACACAGTCCAGGGCTGTGAACTTTGTAGCTCTCTGTGATCTCTTTATCTGAAAATATTTACAAATGACTTTTCATACTTTCCTTCTAACATTAATCTTAATATGAAGTCAAAGAATAACATATCACCCTTCCTTATTTGAGTAAGCCTGGCAGAGAACATAACCTCTTTTGAAAAATAAAGCTATAAGATAGAAAGGGACATAACATTTAATCATTCACTAACTCAGCTACAAGTTCATTAAGGGCAGGGACCTGGTGTAATGCTTCTTGAATCCTTCACAGCAGTGATTTTTCAACTGCTCTGTTGCAAGAATTTTTAAAGCGCTCAATACCTGACTAGTAAGGCATACTGACCTCTTTTCCCTCAGATAATCAAACAAACAAACAAATAAGCAAGACAACAACTAATACAACAATAGCTGTCCAGTGTAAATGAACCAAAATTATACCTATTTACCATATTTTGATTGTATAATGCACACCCACATTTTTGGCCCAAAGTTTCAGGAAAAAAAAATCATTTGTTTTAATTTTTAATTCAATTATTTATTTATCATTTAGGTAGTTGTATTTTTGTATTATAATGAAATTTTAGCATTGATCTTTGGACAGTAAGATATTGTTATTGCTTTCTAGAGTTACCCTTTTAATGCATAAGCATAAATAAAATAATTTTAAAAACTTATATAGATATTAAATTAGTACTACCCATGTATAATGCACATCTTTATTTTACCCTCAAAAACATGGGCAAAAAGGTGTGCATTATACATGCCAAATATGACATTTTGTAAGATCAGCAAAAAATATCATTTTTGGTGTGCCACAGAAATTTAATAATTAGCTTATGTGTGCCATGAGATGAAAACTGTTGAAAATCACTTTCCCATGGCATATGCTGATTATGGTATTGTTCACTTAATCATGTGGCATATTTCTAATCTTGTTTTTCAACAAAGTAGGCCCACCATCAAAAGTACTGGTAGAAATAACTCACAAATAAGAAGGTAAAAGGCTTGTTGATTGATAAAGCTTTGCCTAGACATGCATTTTTTTAATGTAACCCATTTCTAGAAGGATAAAAGGGGCAAATAGAGATGACTCAACGGGGCAGTTTCTCAACAGGATGATTTCTTTGACACATTATCCTGGCCTCACCAAAACCCATACCCAGCTACTAAAAACCAGGCTTGAGGAAACTTTACTTTTACAATTACTCTGGGCAAAGCAATCTCTGTGAATAAGGACATTTTATATGGGACTCACCCTGACCCCTGCCAAGAGTGAAATATATTTTTACAGAAAAAAAAAAATTCCCAGTACTAGCCAAATCCTATCCCTTTCTCTTTCTCCTATTCTCTCTCTTACTTCATCCAACAAAACATGTTCATGAGTTCGGCCTCTGTTGATTTTATTATAATGAAGGCATAATATAAAAGTTCCCCCACCTTTATTTAAGAAGTAAAATTTTTTAATTTCTCCTATAAAGAGAAACTCAAAATACTTTTTTCTATAATAATTACCAGGGCCATTTTCTATCAGAGTCTAAATTAAAATTTTCTGTTTTTTATAACTTTGTACATGTTGGCTTTAGAGGTTAACACTATATCTCAATGAAGAAAAATGTAAGTAATGCCAAAACAATCACATTACTTATCTACACTCCCAGCTGAAAAACTCTGCAAATACCCAATTCCCATGTTTTAGGCCTTTCTCTGAAAAATGACTCTGAACAGCCATCATTTTAACCATATATCTTGAATTGACACTTAGTCCTATGGCTTCTAGTGTTATCTCTTTTTACTAAATGGTTCCAATTCTGAATGACCAGACCAATGGAGTTCTCATATTTTTAGTGATGTTGTTCAAGCCTTCACTATCCTTTCACAAAAAAATAAAACTCAGGAGGAATGGGACTGGACATGTTAGTAATTGCTCTGTCACACCTATGAATTCAGTAACCTATTAAAGGCAATTGCATGAGTCAGATTGATATACCCATCACTTCAAGCAACTGTGAGGGGATTGCAAAACTCTCCTTTCGAACTGGCAGCATTCTTGGTCATATTTCCCTTCTATGGCTTCCTGACTCCATGGTGTCATATTTCTGCCTGTAATGATAGCCTAACAGTAGGTTTACGCTGAACCAAGTAGAGTGGTCAGCAAACACAGCCTCTGGAGCCAGACTGCCCGGAGTCAAATTCCATTTTTATAATGTTAGGCAAATTACTTCATATTCTATGCCCCAATCTTTCATCTGTAAAATGAGGATAATAAAAGAACTCATAAAGTTGTTGTGAATTAAATTAGCTAAAATAACTAAAGCACCTACAATAGTGCTGGGCACACAAAAAATGATCACTAAGCATTAGCTAAGTATGTGTATGATCTTTTCTTCATGGAACTTACACTAAAATGTTCTCAAGATCTTTCACACACCCTGGAAAAGCATCTTCTATATTTGTAATTGTTATCTTCCGGTTGGTCACTTTCTCAAAGAAAATAGTATTACTTGGAGGACACAAATTTTGATCCCTTCTGTGCTCATCAGCTTTAGAATTTGGATCCCTTCTGTACTGATCATTTTGGTTTCCCTGAAATATGCAAAGTGACATGTCACAACATCCCAGACATTCCATGTTTTCCTACCAGAAGAACCTCCACTATGCTCATGTCAGATTTCTGCCCCAGAGCCACGAAACAATGGCCACACACCAGATCTGTATAAAAACCCTCCGTATGCTCACCAAGACTTTAATGTTTCCCTTTTCACTCCCCACACCTGGGGTTATATTGTTCCAACTAGCCTCCAGGGGCTTGTCTTCACTTACAAGATATTGTTTTAAGATAATGCATAGGCTTTTGCTGGGGGAAATTTTTTATCTGTTTTCTGAATCAATAGGACTTAACATTCATCTTCCAATGCAAACACAGAAGGTCTCTGTTAGAAGACTCAGTTATACTTTCTATGGCTGCAGATTTGTTTGTTGCATACAGTTTTCTGAACTCTATCACATAATCATTAGCTACATGTTTTATTAGAGGCTTTGTGTTTTTAAAACTATAGGTTTGGACTTCTTTCATGGTGGTCAGCTGAGCTGCTTTCCTTTGTCAGCTGGCCCCTGGCAGATTTTGCAGGTAGTGAGCTCTCTTCCAGTGCTATATGGAGAGACAGAGTATAAATCGGACAGTACTAAAAAAATGTACCATCAAATCAGTCCCATCCACTGCAGGTCTGTCTCCACATTTGGAGTCTCATTTGAGTATATGTGTATTTCATACAATCAGGAGACATTGTATTCCTCCAGGAACCCGAGACAACAAAGGGTTTCAGAATTTGCAACACCATCAACTGAAACAGACAACAATATGACATATCTATAACACAAAATATGCTGCTGGCTAAAAAAATGTAGTCTGTACTCACAGAAACGTTTTATCTATGTAAGTCTCCCATTGAGCCAGTAAAATCAGGCATTCCTTAGTAAGAACATACCATACAGGATCAGTTTGACAGTGGAGTCGTTCAGGGAATTGTGGCTGGGGTTTGTCAGCTTACATAACATTCCCAAATCCTGGCTGGTCCAGCAAGTGAACAGTAACCATGTTGTTGACATGTTATTAGCTATGTTTAAACTCTAGAGAAAGATCAGGTCTGGAGATTCAAAAAAAAAAATGATGGTTCTGTATTGGTCTGCTAAAATCCTACTCAGACGTATTCTCCGCATTCAAAGGGAGTTTTCTAGTTGTCACCTTCCTACAGAAATATCTATTTATTTCTCTTAATAATTCAAATAGATCTTCCATTTCAAAAACTGGAGAAATGCAGTGGGAAAATATAGCCTACATAGCTGACTACCAGTGAATGAAAATGATGACTGCTCACATGACTGGATAGTAGTTTTAAAGTGAGAAAGCTCCTTCTTGTTCATCCCAAAATAAGAAAACTTGATTTAAAATATAAATATCTTCATTGTCGTAGAAACCACAGTCAACCGGCTTTCAGATTATTGTGCCACTGAGCCAATCAAGCTCTTTAAAACCAGTTCCCATATTAGAGCAAAGGACCAGGCTTTGGGGGAGGACAGACAGAGAGAGAGAGAGAGAGAGAGAGAGAGAGAGATTGAGTATAACTACCCCCTGGATTCCTATATATATTTTGCCAGGATAATCAGCATATTATTTGACTCAGGGTGTATTTTAATTGAACTATTCACTGAATGAATAAAAGGTCAAATCTCTGGAGTTTGTTTGATGTACACTAATAAATCACTGGCTTGACTCCATGTTTTATGCACCTCATAAAGCTACCACAGCTAATATGCACTTTTCTAATCCCCGAGACCTGCAGTGTGAGTTAGAATTTAAAGGTTACCACATCCAAATCAGGCTTTGGATTTAATTGCTAAGCAGGCTAGGCCATCAACCTAATACAATATAATCAATAGTTTTCCTCATTTGGTTATATTGACCTTCCTCTCTAGGTCATCTTGATTTCTGGGCAACACTGATATGTAAAATCAAATGGAGAAGAAATTGGACTTGGCGGGGTTGGGGAAAAGCTATGATCCACAAGTCCCTACTTACAGGGGAAAGCTTTGTCTCCCTCTTATTAGACATATCCATATAGTTTAGCTGAAGATATATACTACAGATGCTGCTTTGATGCTTATACTGCATGAAGCAGAGAAGAGAGAGAAAAGAAACAGAAGTTCAAGGCAACTGGTTCCTTTCAATAAAACAAGAGAACAGAGCTGAAAATCCCTTTAGAGACCTTCCATTGTGGGTGATATATTTTGAGTTACTATCCTGTAATACCTCAGTGCTCAGACTACTCCCTCTGCCTGAAACACTTTCCTGTTTTTTTCCCTTGACCTTTCAAGGTACAAATCATCAATGAAATAAAATGAAGTTTTTTTTCTGTTGCTGGATTCTACAGTGATTGCGCCGATTCTATACAGCCTTGTTCTTTTCCGTTTAAAATAATATTTTAAAAATACTTTAATTTGCCCACTCATAATATTCAGGTGATAGATAGATGGATAAATAGATGGAAGCATAGATTGTTTTTCAATTTAAGAAATTCTTATGGTAATCTAACTGATATTGGACAACATAGAAAGAATAAAGGAATGCATGAGATAAATTTCCAGATAGTTAATTTTCCCAGTTTCTTAAAGCATTATAGAGCAATGTGTTTCCCTTCCAAAAGAGCAGAGGCCCAGGATGAGTGGCTAGAAAGCAATGTGTGTGAAAGCAGCACCCATCTGACTACATCTGTAGGAACAATCAGCCAGTAAAAATGGTGTCCAGATTTTCCAGGGCCTGGGTAGAACAAAAGAGTCCCCATTGTCTGTTGTACTTATTCTGTGTTTTCTTCCTACTCCTAAAACTTTCAAGGTACTTATCTATGTCAAGAAAAATAAACTTCAAGAATTAATAAATTTGAAATGTTTATTAAGTGTTTATTTGGCCTAAGCTTTTTGGAATAACACAGTGATCACACATCCCAATTTGCCCAAGGTGTTCCAGTTTATTCATATTTTACTAATATTATTATTAATAGTACCTACTTTAGTCTCAAAAATGCCTTAATTTTACAATAAATCACACACCCACTCTAGTTATGGGCCTAATCAAACAATGTAGGGTTAAAATCCTAACCTCATTTCTTATTAACTATGTGGCTTTGGAAAATTTTCTTCATTTTTCTTCATCCCTGGTTTATCATGTGTAAATAGAATAATAATTAGTAAATAATGTTTCAAAATGTGAATTTTGCTTGTGTCTGAGAGCATATGTATATTTACTAAGCCTAATTAAATTGGATTTGTTTTTCATTTTAACAGAGAGAAACCTAACTCTTTAGCACCTGTGTATTTTGGCAACTTCGCCTTAGCAGCATCATTTAGGACAGCTGTTGCTTAGAGAGAAACTAAAGAGATGCTTAAATGTTAAATAATAACAATAGTAATGATAATAATAATAATGATGGTACTTATGTCAGGATTATTTGAGGAGCCAATGAGTTAGTCTATGTAAAGCTCAGAATTGTTCCTGGCACAGAATAAGAGCTCAACAAACTCTTAGTATGTTAGTTAGCATAAAAGTTGAAAGATCTGACCCTGTTCACAGTTCACTCATCTAGACCTACAAAATATATCAAAGAAACAACTGTATAAACAAATACAATAAATTTAGGTGACTTTAGGCAATAAAATATCTATTTGGAAACTGTAATTACATAAATAAATAACATTTATATAGCAGTATTACTTTAACACCCACTTTCCTACACATTATCACAAATGTTCTCCATGACAAGATCATGAAGTGGGTATTATTAATGTCCATGTTTCTAAGTTAAGACACCAGTCAAGGAGGGTGTACCTTTCCTAATGTTACAAAGAACAAACGCAATAACCAGAAGTTGAACCAAATTCTTCTCACTCTAGGTGGCCTATTTTGAGCACTAGTAAAGGGTGAATACTAAATTCTTAATTCTTTTGTTTTCAATGCAAGTTGAACTGTAAACTCAAATATCTAACACAGTCTGAAATACATTTATCTTGGTTCTATTCAGGAGTTTTCTTTCACACTGTGCTATAATGGCATATTTAATTTCCCACCTCTACAACATGAATTCTTAAATGTTGTGAGATAAAAGATTATGATTTTTCTCTATGTTTGGTTTTAGAATTGTCTTTTTTTTTATTCCTGACACATAGCAGGTGCTCAATAAATAGTTATTAAATTGAATAAAATATGTTTTTCAACCAGCATCCTAGACAACACAGTCCCTGTGTTCAGGCTCCCTGTTAAGTTGATTGATATTTTGAAAAGGGAGTCAAGCCATTAAGCTATAAATGAGTCTGAGGTGATCAAGGGGATTCATGGGGAACTGAATTCATTTCTCTGCCCTTTCCTGGCATTTCTTCTTAGGCACTTTACAAAGATATGCTTTTTCTACCTCCAAGGAAACCTCCCTACCTGGAACCCCTTGCCATAATATTATTGCATCCTATATTTTCAATATAAAGTACTTACTTTCTAGATCCATAAAGATTTTCATAGGCATCAGAATCATTATAACTCTCCTCTTGATCATCAATGGTATAATTAGATTGGTAAAAATTGGAATCAAATTGTTCCAAGTTTGACATCCTGAAAAATATGAATGATTTTTTACTGAGAAGTTTGGGAGTCAGTAAAACTTTCTTTTTATTGTTGTTCAGTTACAGCTGTTCTGCTCTCCCGTGCCCTGTCCCCCACACCCCACTCCCACAGTCAATCCCCCTTATTGTCCGTGCCCACGAGTCTTCTATTCTATTCCTTGGCATGCCCTTTCCCCTTCTTTTCCCCATCCCCCCCCCTCCTCGCCTCCAATTACTGTCAGTTTGTTCTTTATTTCCATGTCTCTGGTTCTATTTTGCTCACTTGTTTGTTTTGTTGATTATATTCCACTTAATAGGTGAGGTCAAATGGTATTTGTCTTTTACCACTTGGCTTACTTAACTTAGCAAAATATTCTCCAGCTCCACCCATGCTGTTGTAAAGGGTAGGACTTCCTTCTCTCTTTCTGCTGTGTAGTATTCCATTGTGTAAATGTACCACAGTGTTTTTGGTCCACTCATTTACTGATGAGCTCTTAGGCTGTTTCCAGCACTTCGCTATTGTAAATAATGCTGCTATGAATATTGGGATACATAGGTTCTTTTGAATGGGTGATTCGGGATTCTTAGGGTATAATCCCAGCAGTGGAATTGCTGGATCAAAAGGCAGTTCCATCAATACAACATTTTTAGATATATTACTAAGATTAATTGACAATGTGATGATGGATAGATTCCTATCAGAGAAGAAAATATTCTTTGGATGGAGTAGATTAAGTATTGGGGAAAAGATATAGAAACGTATGCTAGAAAGTCATTCACAAAACATGCACCTTCAAGAATTCCAATCATCTTTTCTGAGGTTTTCACTCAACAGGACTGTGACTTTGACTAAATACACTTTAAGACACCTGAAAGAACTAACATTCTTCCCAAAATACCTTATTCTCAGAAATTTAAGAGAAAAAGTTTAAGCCTTGGTGCATATCTAGAATGCATCTAGAAGGTTTATTTTAAACAATGTTAACTCCTCATTTTAATTATTAATCATGCATAATAATTTACATTTAAAATTTTTACAATTATACATGTACGGTCTTATTGCATGACAGAAAGCACATGGCTGATAATAATAATGCTATTTCATTTTGATTTTTCCTGGAGCTTTCAAGTGTGCTGCAGCCTCGCTGCTCCCTTCTGTCTGGGCCCTAGGGAGCAGAGGCAGGTGTGCTGGGGGGCAGCCTTCCTTCCTCTGTACTCTTGACATAGTTTCTACTAACTTTGGGGAGCAGAGGGAATACATGATCTTGATTTAGACCTAAGAAATAGAAATAGCAGAGAGAAAAGGAATATCAGAAAGGAGGAAAAGATGCGGGGGAAATGTAAAAGGAAGGAAATGGTGGTTCTTTGGATAAAAATTAGAGAATGGAGTAGAGAATTTTTGCAATTGGACAGATATGGTTATTCAATTCAACATTTCAACCTTTGTTTATTTTTTTTGAAGAGCTTTTTATTTCAGAAGAGTAAATTTTAAAATCACTAGGAGTAATCTATATAGTTATGATAATCTATTGAATACTATGTATACTATATTTCAAATGCATTGCTTAGTCTTAGCTCTAAAAGCCTCATTAATAGGAAATCCAAAATATTCAACTAACAATTGTCAAATATATCAAATTTTTCTAATTCAGAAAAATACAGAAAGACTTTCTAAAACTAGATGCAGTGGTTGATACATCTGATTTAATAAATCAAGATTTTTCATTAGTAATATGTATAAAAGTAGCTATGAATTATGTAAGCTAAAATCAGGTCTAGGAGAATGTTAAATTTTTTAACAAGTTATAATTTAAAGAATTTAAAATTTAATAGCATAACTTTCTCAGTCCATTAAAAAGTTATTATAAAGCATAGAGAGTAATTTCACTGGAGAATACAAAGTTTTCATAACATGCAAAACTTTATGTAATACGACTATTGATATTAGAGTCCTTACATAACCCAACCTTATAGTTTTTTTAAATGCCAAGTTCTTTCAGAAGGACCAGACACATACCTTTATATTATTTTGTGTCAAAAGATCCTCCAACAAATGTTGCTTTACTTGAGAGATTTATAACAAATCAGTTCATGAAAAGATGACCAGCTGGTTATATATAGGGTTCTAAATTTGACTCTGACACTGAACAGAAACTTGCCAAAAGCCAAAGCCAAACACAGTATCTTATAACACTTGTTCAAGTTTACAAACCCAGTAAAAGGCGCAGAGATGTACAATTTGATAAAGTGAAATGGTAGATTCAGTGTCCTTGTGGGCATGTCTCATTCAACTCTGACTTAGGATCATTCATTTCAGGCAAAAAAAAATAGAGTGACAGGGAAACCCTTGTGCTTTATACCCTATAAGAATCAATCTAGACAGGATTTCTGAATGATACACAGTACAAATCAACATATGGTACATGATCTTAACATGATGGTCTTCTCAACTATCTGAAAACTGATAGTTGTCATTTTTATCCAAATCTGGACTATTTAGTTTATATAAAAAATATTTAGGTAGGTTACCTCTGATTTTTCCCCTTGCTTTTTACTTATTCAGCAGAGCCCAAGATGGATATACTAATGTGATCTAGTACTACTTTTCATGTGTGGGCATGTTATGTCCTGTTTTTGAGCCAAACCTGACTATTGGAAGGCATCAGACCTATTGGTACCCCAGGAAACTACCTGAGTTGTTTTCCTCTACATCTGTGAGTCACTTCCTGAAAACTTCTCCATATTTTGACCCAGGTAACCTGGCTAACACTCCCAATTCCTTCCTGGGTTTGGGTATCTGTCCCTAATATCAGGCTCATGGTTGGAGGTCAAGTTCCCCCTGTGATCTGCTTCATGCTGATTCTCCTTCTAGGGCTCGAGACTTAGCATGTATCCAGATCTCAGTAACTAAAATTCGTTGTTAAAGGGTAAGTTATTTGGCAGTCAGGAATTTCTATGAGAGCCAAAGGTAGAGTGATAAAGATTTTTTTCCCCACAATGTTGAAAAACATTTGGGATTTGAATTTCTTTAAGAGTTGTCCTTAACCAGGTCACTAATCATGCAACAACAGTTCACACATTCAATGAGAATCTAGTATTGAGTACCGGACTGCAATCTAAATGTCTTAATTACAGAAGTGGATAGCCCTAAGCTGTGCGGCTCAGCAGATTGAGCACTGGCCTGCGAACCAAAGTGCTGATGGTTCAATTCCCAGTCAGGTCACATGTCAGGTCCCCAGTCGAGGGTGCACAAGAGGCAACTATACATTAATGTTTCTCTCCCTCTCTTTCTCCTTCCCTTCCTCTCTGTCTAAAAATAAACAAATAAAGTCTTTAAAAAAAAAAACTTCCTTTCCATTAAAATAAAAGTGGACAAACTAAACAGACCTGCATTTTAAAAAGAAATATTTTAGTATTGATTCTACTGTATAGACAACGAATAATGCTGACTAGCCAGGCATTGTTCTATGAACTTTAGGTTTAAGTCATGTAAGATTTGCAACAACTTTATGAACTATTATTGTCACACTTTGCAGAAAAAAGAAATAGAAATGTAATAAGTTGCAGATTTTTAGACAGTAATAAAGTTGTGTAATAAGGGCTGCAAAAATTATAAATTCAATGGCACAGTAACTTGCCAAAATCAGGGAAAAAAATTATTCTGTGGTTGCTGACTATAATTAGCATTGGGAATAAGAAAAATAATCTCCTCCTGTAATTTCTTAGATTCTCTTTGGTGACCTGTCAAATATTAAAGAGATTGTGAGCTGATCAACAGCCCTATCTGTTTATCTGAAATTTCCCTGAACATGACAGTTACACATACATATCTCTATTAAATTAAAAGATGAATAGGCTAGATGGATGGATGAATAGCCATTACTTTTAATATTTAATACTCAGAATCCCATATTTCTATTTATGTGTAACAATCTAAGAATCATATAAGATTATGATATTCATTACTGCAATCTTCTGATATAAAAATGGAAGCTCAAAGTGGGTAAGTGACTTGTGCAAAGTCACATACCAGTATGTGACAGAACCCTGTTTGGAACAATAATTCTCTCATTCAGCCCAGTTTCTTACTACTCACACTGTTTCTTCCAAAAGACTACGTGGTTGTCCAAAATACTGGGATTAAGAATGTACCTGTTTGAAAACATTAAATAATATTTATTCACAAACTCCAAAACATATTTTTCAACTGAACACAGCTGCCAATAAACCAAGAGAAAAATATATCATCATTTTCTACCTCTGCTGACAGAGGAATGGGTTGTTTGTTACCAATGTTTAGGTAGTAATTATTTTGGTAATCTATATTGTAACGATGTACAGTGATTCAACTGTACCTTAAAGTACTACTCATATTAACATAGAAAAAATACAGTACATTCTGTTACAATAGTGTGTTTTAAATACATCTTGATCAGCATTCTCTGCTTGCTTCTTTTGTTATCACCACATAAAGTTTGTTTCTGACATCTGACCTTTAAAGACCATGCTGCTTCTATTTTATGAGCCTAAAACTGCAGCCCTGAATATTACATTGTCACATGAAAATGGGCATAAAATTCTGTTTTAATGCATACATTTTAAAGAGTTTACTGTGTTCTATGGCAAGGAAAAAAATCACGGTGTTTTCCTTCATTAATACTATGATAATTATCTTTGACATTTTTACCTCAAAAAATTAAAAATTAAAAATTTTTCCATTACTATTTAGTCCCATTATACTCCCGCCCCCAGCAATCCCCACACTGTCGTTCACGTCCATGAGCCCTTTTCTTTTTGCTCAATCCCTCCACCCTCTGACCTCCTCTCCCACCAGCTGTCATTCTGCTCCCCATCTGTGGGTCTGTCCCCATTTTCCTTGTTAGTTCAGTTTGTTCATTAGATTCCACTAGGATCTCACTAAATACTTAAAGCTTAGAGTTTTAGCTTCATGGAACATTTGCTCAAACGTTGCCCTGATACAAAGGAGCAGTTTTTCCCTAGTTAGCTTCATAAACTAGGGAAAGTAGTGTACAGAGTAACATAAAAATATTTTGAATATAATTTCATTTTATCTTAAAAGCAAACGGTTGGGTGTCTAGTTTAAAGTGGCACTAGACCAGGAAGTTGCCTGACAATTCCTAGAAAAATACTCATGGAGGTTTTTAAAGAGATAAATACTCCACAATCTAAAAAACTATTTTTGGGAATCAACCTGCTACCAGAATCTAGGCAAATTTCTACGATAAAACTGGTAAGTCTATAGTGAGAAAATAATGTTTAACCATCACATTCTTTTCTTCATGCCAAAGAATAGCTCACTTATCAAAATAGAAGCAGTAAGATTCAAGACCCCTGGAGAGTTAAGTTTTACACTAAATAGAAGAGCAGGTATCCCTCCACTGTAAGAATGTTGCTTTTATAAATATCAGTGTAATACAATTATTTTTTATATGATGGCTTTCTTCCCTCAACTGCGAATTCTTTCAGTAGCATAACCACATCATTTTCATTTTTGAATCCCCATGGGTTAATATTCTGTTCTTGGATACTTAGGAACATTTCTGAAAAACTGTAAACACTCCTCATACATGCTATTCTGTGACTGCAAGGCGTCTTTCTCTCATTTCACAAAAGGGGACCCTCAGTTGTGTTGAGACTTTTCTCTATTTTATTTCCTATTCTTTGACATCAAAAACTCACCCAATACCACAGCTTTTGTTGCATTTTTATTTATAGTTTACAAACCTCTAGCCCTGAACTTTTTCTCAAGCACCATTTATAACTATCTGTTAGATATTGAATACCTAAGTTTCATATTCTCGGAAATGTCAATTATACTTTCCAATCTACAAAGAAATGTGGAATTATCCCTCACTGTATGCATCAAATTAACTATGTTTGTTTCAATTTCTAAAATGTTTACCAATTATTCCTTTACCTCTATTCTCTGTCAGTGATTCATTCAGGCCCTCACTGTGTCTCACCTACATTATTAAAATGAGACTCTCTTTTTAAAAAACCATTGTTATTGCTGTTCTATTACAGTTGTCCCAACTTTTCCCCCTTTGCCTTCCCCCACCCCCCCCCACTCCCACAGTCAATTCCCAAACTGTTGTCCATGTTCGTGGGTCATTCATACATGTTTGCTGTCCCTTCCCCTTCTTGCCACCATTGTCCCCTCCCCTCTCCCTTTTAGTCTCTGTCAGTTTGTTCTTTATTTCTAAGTCCTATTTTTCTCATCCATTGCTTTGATTTGGTTCCACTTATAGGTGAAATTATGTGGTATTTATCTTTCATCACCTGGCTTGTTTCACTTAGCATAATGTCCTCCAGTTCCGTCCATGCTGTTGCAAAGGGTAGGAGTTCCTTCTTTCTTTCTGCTGCATTGTATTTCACTGTGTAAATGTACCACAGTTTTTTGACCCATTCATTTGCTTATGGGCACTTATGCTGTTTCCAGCACTTGGATTTTAAAAGAAAATGGAAGGAAAGAAAAGGAAAGGGAAGGGAAGAGAAGGGAAGGCAAGGCAAGGCAAGGCAAGGGAAGGGGAGGAAAAAAAAGAAAAGAGAGAAAAGAAAAGGAACAAAGAGTGGTAGAAAAGGCATAAGTGAAAGCAAATACAAAATTTATTTTTTGTTTTATTATTATTGATTTTCTTATTTTAAATTAATTGTTTTAAGTAAAACATATTGCCAATTAATTCCAAGTGTTAAGAATAAGAGCTGTTTGAATTCTCATAGATTGTTGATGGTAATACAAAATGGTACAGTCACTTTAGAGAAAGGTTCTTATTTTCTCATAAAAATAAATATATATTTGTCACTCCACAAGCAATCCCAGTCACAGATATTTACCCAAATAAAATGAAAACTTATCTTTAAAAACAAACAAATAAATGAGATTCTCCTCCATCTGTCTGTCTTCTGTTTCTCTCATCGCTTCATTCATTTTCCTATTCAGTGCATGTACACACCATTGTCAAAGAAAGCTTCCTAAAGCAAAAACCTGGAATTTTTGATGTCTATGGGAGTGGTATTTCCTTGCTCACAGTGGCTTCTGCACAGATAATGGTGAAATGCTAGTTACCAAGATCTTACTCAAGGTCCTCAC